TTTTTTTGTTCGCAACTAGAGGGGAATATTGCCTTTTAAGGTCTTGCTTACGACCAAACAATCCAAGAGGCATATGCTACTCCATTCCATTCATTTTAAATCAATGATACTTTAATATTTGCCAAAAGATAACGCCCCAAAAGAAGAAACACTATACTAGATAATCGCAAAGATAGTGGGTAAGCCATCTGGTTTCATAGCGAGGTTCCCTTCGATGATAAAAGAAATTCGACACTAGGTAAATATCTCTCGAAATCATGAAAATTGAAATATGTTACTGACTTCTTGCATTTGGTAAAGTAAGTCGCCACCGAGAATTGGGTATCATGTGTTTATACTTTGTTTATTTCGTAGAAAACCAGACTGTGCAAATTGTATGGTCGAAGAAAGTTGAGAACGGTGTTGGTAATTTCACGAAAAATTGTAAAAAGACCTCATTGGCGAGCAAGTAGAGAATGATGAATCGAAAGCGTATTACCTGAACCCAATTCGAGTAGCCAAACAATTCCGGTGAATCCTTTGATAAACACTTCATGGGATTCAAAAGAAGGGTTTGGGGAAGAAGGGGAGCTTCAAGTTGAGAAGGCATCAAAGCAAGCGTATCTTATATCTTATATATATGCGTGTGTTCATGAGAAATTAGTAGTACAAGAAACGAGAAACTTTTGAAGTACATAGTGTACTTCCCTACGCTTGCCTCGACATGCACCCACATCAATCATAAGCCCCTCGGGATCTTGTCTTTTTTCTTAAATCATAAGCCGAGAGCAGCATCGTCCGACGTTTACGTTCATCAGACATCGGGGTCTACACGATCCTATGCTGATTATTCTATTTAGTGCTGTTTATGCCAAGAAAAAAAAAAAGGTTTGTAGGGCTCATGATGAAGTCTTCCATAGCGATCGTTGTTGCGGAAATAATAATATAAATAGTCCATAAACTTTGGCTCAATATGTAATATGACCCATGAACTTTTAATTTACTCAATATAGTCCATAAACTTTAGCTCTATGTGCAATGTGGTCCCTAAACTTTTAATTTGTTCAATGTGATCGCTAAATTTTTTATACATGTTCAAACTAGTCCCTAGACCATATGAAATGCTCAATGTTATCCATGAACTTAAATTAACGGAATGACAATATTAAACGTTCTCATATAGTCCAGGGACTAGTTTTAAAATGTTTTAAAAGTTGAAAGACTATATTAAACGAATTAAAAGTTCAAAGACTAGATGAACATTTTCATATAGTACATGGATTAGTTTGAACATGTACCAAAAGTTCAAGGACCACATTAAACAAATTAGAAATTCAATAATCACATTGCATATTAGGTTAAAATTCATAGACTATTTAAGTCATTTTCCCTAAATAATATTAACTCGTGTATAAACGTGAACCCTTATTTCTAACAAAGTTCCAAGTAACGAAATCTACAATTGGGAGCCTGTGTGAGGTTCACACAGAGTCTTTCCAGGAAGAGACCATCATCTGCAGAGGAGACGAAATTGATTAGCGTTGTGTCTAATCTAAGGGTGAAAAAAGGGTCTCGAGAGCCGGGATGCATGCCGGTTTCACACGACCAGGTAGAGCGGCGCTGCTGCTCTTTTGAATGATCCGGCTCTTTCACTTTCTTTCGTGTTCGGTCCTCGGAAGAGGAACCCCTATCGCTCGAGAAGAAGGATATACGAGGTTAAGGTTGAGGCTATATCTACTTCCATAAAACCGGAAGCTGACTTAATATCTCCTACACCAGCTATTCATGTCCACGGATTGGTTATTCTCTTTTAAATGCAAGTATGAGGGTGCATGGACAATGGGTCGAAGAAGATAATTCAATCCCGGTTCAAAAGGTGGGTTAATTAGTGGTTCGGAAAACGCAAAAAGTGCATCAAAGCAGATTGATTAGCCACTGATTAGACGCTGCTAGCGATCATTGGACCGGCTAGCGCCAAGGAAACAGAATACGACAAAATGATTTGAATGCTTTCCCTCAGTAAAGTTACAAAGTTAGGGGCGATGAAAGAGGAAATGGAACAGATGGCGTTTGACAAGCGTGGCGTACGTTCGAGACACAGAAGATAAAGATGGATTCTCACAATCTTTATAGGTCCTCGAAGGAACTATTGGGAGATTCTCCGGGACCCAAATATCATTTCGAAAGTTAAAGAATTATTGCATCTATTCCGCGCCAATGCAAATCCAAACAAAAATCGCTTCGGACCATTCTATATCTTGCTTCGCTATATTTCCTGCGTACAAAAATTGTTCTGCTAGAAGTAAATGAACGTTGTGGACTTGGACGAACAAGGATCAACATCATCTGCCATCGCCATTAGTAAATTCGTATACTTGTTTGCTTCTTATAACGTGGAAAGCGCTAGAAATTAGTTGTTTTCGTGTCGCAATCTTGTCATCATTGCAGGAAGATGATAAGAACAAATTGAATAGGGTCCCATTCGACTGTAATGCGTCGAGTAACTTTCATGTGGGAATCGAATGATATAACCAGGGAATTCTGTGGGAAAATGTAATTCGGAAGATTTGACAAGATCGTAGCAATTTATTTACGCGTATGCACTCACGAAGAAATTCTTTTCTAGAGAAACCCTTCCGAAAACGATAATGAGAGAGATGGCTTCTTCCTTTCCGACCATGAATCTATCCCAAACATTGCCCAAACAAGAAAATGCAAAAGCACCTGAAAGTACATGATCTGGAAAGTCACCATTCGCTGCCTCCTTATCTCGCCTTTCGACATCTTGCAGATGTTGATTAGGAATTCGAACGTGACTCTCTTTTCAGATTGTTCATCGACAGTTTGACGCATCGCTTCGAGAACTAATTTATTAAACTAATAACGTTTGCACCATTCTGTATTATAATTGACTGTTTTGTTTCTACACTTGTCTCATCACAGTGTCGAACTGCCAATAAATCGACCATAATCCACGAAAGGCTTCCCCATGTAAAGATTTATTATCGAGATGCCGCAAATCTGCTCTTACATAATTGAATAAGGGCTTTCGGGGTGGAATTTTGAGTGGTATTTGGAAAGGCTTCCGCAAATAAAGATTTAGGAAAAAGACCACCAAAAATCTTAAATTATGCCCATAGTAACACATTTATCTCAAAACAAAATTGGTGACGCCAAAAATCTTAAATTTATAGCCGAGTGACACATTTACCCCATTAAGGTTCTGTTTAAAATCTCTATTAAAAATCTAACGTGATACCACATCAGATAAATTTAAAATTAAGTTATTGTTGATTGTGAGTTACTGTTCATCATTAATGTTTATCATCTTCAATCTCGCGATCCCTCCGCAAAAGCTCTTTCGGAGCTCGTTCGTCGCTACCCACTGCCGCCTGGACCTCTGGGAGCTTTGTCGTAGCTATTGGCCATGGTGGCCGCGAGCTTCGAGATCGGTTATGACTTTGAAGCTTGCGACCGCCATGGCCGCTTGAGCTCGAAGCTTGGCCTATGGTTGGATCTGCGATACTTGGATAGCAACCAACGGCGATGGTTTGGTTGGGATGAAATTTGCTCGACAAGGTAGAGCCCATGATCCGAGACCGGCATGACAAAGAAGAGGAAGACGATGACGAAGTTGATGATGAAGATCCACTTCGGATAAGCTTTGCCCTCGGGCCAAGTTTTGAGCTCAAGTGGCCATGGCGGTTGCAAGCTTCGAAGCCAGATCCAACCTCGAAGCTTGCGATCGCCATGGCCAGCAGCTACAAGAAATGCTCCTAAAGGTCCAGGTGACAGTGGGTAGCGATAAACGAGTGCCAAAGGAGCTTTGGCATAGCGATCATGAGGTTGAAGACGATGAATAGTTTCTCGCAATGCTTAGTAACTTAATTTTAGGTTTTATTTTTAATTTTACTGATGTGGCACCACGCAAGTACCACATCAGCGACACGTCAAATTTTTAACGAGGATTTTCACCGGAAACCTAACAGAAGGTAAATGTATCACTCGGATACAAGTTTTGGGTAAATGTGTCACAATTGACATAGTTTGGAATTTTTTGTGGTTTTTCCCCCAAAGATTTATGATGTAGATGCCACGAATCCAGTCTTACAAATTCAAATTTGGGCTGATGAGGATGATATTTTGAGGGGTATCCTGAAGGTTATAGAGAGCATTTGTAAGGCCTTAAAGGGATAAGAAGGTAGGGAAGGATGAAAGAGTTTGTTGTCCAGAATTTAAACCTAGGAGGATTCCCAATAAGCTAACATGATTTTTTTTCAACGAAAATGATGATCGATTCACTTACTCTGTCTTCTTTGAACTCTCTTCCCCGATTCTGTAGCATCCACTCACTCTTAAACTATCTCCAACTAGGACCATCTAAGCATTGAATGATATAATGATCTTAGGTTTAATGGGAGATGGCACCTCCTGAGTCTTTAGTCCATATAAGTCATTGGTCGATGGGGTTAAAAATTTATAGTTTTAGGTCTAGAACCGATGTTATATGTTAACAATTGACATCCCATTACCATATATGAGAGGGTTAAATGTAGCGAGTCTTAGAAATTGTCTATGGAGAAGTTCCAGAGAGAAGAGAGTCCATTGAGACCAAGGCGCTTTTAAATTTTTGAAAGGGAATAAACGAGGAGAGAGAGAGAGAGAGCAATTGGGCCAGAAAATGAAGATCCACAGGCTGGCCCAATTGAAAAATAAATATAAACAGAGCAGACAAATTGGAATTTTTGGGCCACTCAGGCCCAAAGTGCAAATGGGTGGGCCTAGAAAAATTATCCTACATTCAAATGCCTAACCCGCCTTAGCCCAAAAATCAATATGCAACGTATATTTAACTAATCTATGAACGTGAATACATATTATTTCTTGGACATGGATGGATTAGGGCAACAAAGTTAGTTCCGGCCTGGAGCGACCGCGTAATTTGCGCAATGAAAATCTAAGTAGTTCGCTCACAATCTCATCTCCGAGGCCGAAAATTCAATGTCACTACATGATCGGGGTAAAGAAAGAGGTGACAACATCAAATTCACGTTAAGAAACTGAAGACGATCAGTAATGATGTATCAATACATTCAAGTTGCAACAAAGTGATGTTCTACACATCAAGCATGTCGACAGGGTTGATATCTATTTGGTCACACACACACACACACACACACACACACACCACACAGGCAAAGCAACAAATTAATTAAGAATGGGCAGTTAGAATAAATTAAAGCAAATGAAGAACAGACGACTTGGAAAAAAACTAAATGGAGCTTCTTCACCCGCCGCGGATGGAGTTCAATTAGTTTGGGGACCTGTTCCCGTGTTTATCGGTGGCTTGGTAAGTGCAGATGCTAGAAATGTGGCCTGGTTATCTTCCTGCGTACAAAAGCGAACCTCGTCAAGGCTTACGACGAGCGAATTTGAGTTCGTACACCAGTTGTGTGCTCAATGAGGAAGCTATAGAAGCAACTATATCTTGCAGGGTCGCCATCATTTGGTTTTCGGCTCGACAAATGACGCCCTATCATTCGGAAACCAACTACTAGTGCAACATAGAACCGACTAATCTAGCAAGAGGTCGGCGTTTTAATTTATAGACTGTTCACCATGGTACTACAAATCTTCTTCGAACAAAAAAAAAAAAGAAGCTACCCAGGTAAATTTCTCTACCAAACATAAAGTTGGTGTCTTGTGGGTGGTTAGAGTGACAAAGAAGTATGTATAGTGATGTACAACAGCAAATGCTAAAAATGCTCGACTTTTATTTACTGAAACTCGTATTATTTAAGGTGGAAATACACCTACAATTGTCGGGTTGAAGGTTTTATCATCCTTACTTATGGATCAGTCGAGATAGTTGACTGCAGTTTTTTTTTTTTTTGGTCAAAGAGGTAGATTTCATTACTAAACCACAGAAGAAGTGCTACAAGGTTCAGAATCAGTACATAATAAAGCCCATAATGGGGGGGGGGGGGGCTGCTTAGACAGCCAATTGACGGGAAGTAAATTTCTTCGGTGAGCTTTGACAATCCAATCCACAGTCAAATTAGCTTCACGGGGCTCATACTTAACTGAGAAAACACGAATTAAATCCACTATGTTTTGCCAGAGCACAAAATGAGCACATGCGGTTAAACAACTTTCTACGTGAAATTTCTTGGAATGTCCCGTCGTGTCGAAATAAGAAACCTTAATAAACGGAACATAAGATCATGATTAACTGGCGGACCATTTGCTGATAAAATCATGCAGCGGTAACTCAGAATCGGTTCGTGAGCATGACAATGCCGACAACATGTTTACGATGTAAGAAACTTTAGAGAGATAGAGAGAGAGAGAGAGAGAGAGAGAGAGACCGTTTCTCCGGTAGTGGGGGGATCATCGGCTTCCACGGGGTCTGTTGGATCCAGTTTGGCCGCGGCGGATGACGGAGGAGGATCCGAAGCTTGCGCGGCCGGAGGAGGAGAAGGATCTTGTGCTGTCTCCAGGCCTAAGCACCTGAGCACGGCCTTCACGACTTCCTGGACCAGAACACAAGGGTTCAATGAAGCGTGCGCAGGTGTTCCACCGCTCTCCTCCATCTCTCTCTCTCTCTCTGTATGTTGCAAATGTTTCAGCAGCAATAGTGGTGGTAATAGGAGTAGGTGAGTTGAATTGAATTGGAATCGAAGGGAGGTGTCTTTCGTCTGTAATGAATGGACTGTGGTTCTTCTGATGTAATAAAAGCACGTAGAGCGGTCTTTCCCTATTCTCATCGAAACAAAAGGAGAATCCAGATGTGCGAGGTAAGAGTTGACCGAGGTCACATGGGGTTCTTCGTTGTGACCGTTACGCCCTCCTCTCTTCACGACCCGAGTCAGTAATTTTGATTGCGTCCACCGACCGCAAAGGGCCCCCAAACAAAAAAAAAAAACCTCCTGTCCATTCCCGTTATCAAATTGATATTAAACCTACCGTACATATATCAATTCAGTCTTAAGCATTTCCAATTTTGACAGCGTAACCTTGAACCTTTGCGCGGAGTTCCCATCTAGTCCTCCCAGCAAATTGCTGCCGGAAATCGCGGTGCGGCGGTCCACATGGGATGTCGTTTCGGATAAAGTCGTTCACGTCAGCGTATCACGTAGACGGCCGGCGATGACTAGACGCCACGTTTAAATTTCCGGAGACAATTGGCTGGAATGACTAGATTGGAATTCCGCACAGAGGTTTAAAACTACAATAGAAAACTTGAAAAGTTTATGATTGAATCGGCATCCGTACAATACGTTTAAGATTGATTTGGTAATTGTCCATATATATGTAAGAAATCATTTAAAAGATGGAAGTATTCTCTATTAAATATCTTTAACAATTATCACAGGTATTTGTTCATAAAACCATCAACTATATCTACTGTAATATATTCATGATGAACCATTTTTATGATATCAAAAACCCCAAACTAGATTACCCTAAATTGTTTATCGTGACATCAAAAACCCAAAACTTAAACCCTCCTTCAAGATTTCGTCATATGATTTTTCAACCAAAACATCGTCGTTTTTATTCACTTAAGTCATGTGGGCGCCATATCAATACCGTTTGCCTTCCGTCGTTTATGTGGTTAGATTTTTAATTGTGCGGATTGACGGACCTTAACATAGAGTAAATGCGTCACCCAAGTATAACTTTGGGAATTTTGGTTTCACGGAAAAAAAAAAAAAAAAGGTTTGTGATACATGTGTTACTGTAGATACACTGTGGTTTTTGTCACTTTTTCCCTAGTATTTGAATGCCCAAACTATGTAACTTTGGTCACGAGGGTTCGAGTGTCATTGTGCTTGCCATTATGTCAGTGATCTATGTTTTAGGAACCGTTGACTAGTGGTTCAACGTGGTCGGACCATCAGTCATATGACATCTTCGACCTTGTCTGCTTGTCCTATGACACCTAATGCATTTTTAATACTATGGAGTAACAACTGAGATCTCTCGGATCAGTTCTCGTCTCCATAGATAGATCTAAAACTTAACTCCAATTAAAAACTCCACTTGATTGGAGATTCGTCCTCTGGTCATTGGAACCATGAAGTTTAATCGCCTTCCTACTGACCTCTCTCCTTTCCAGCGACGCACACTGACCTCACTAAGCCAATTTTTATTGTTAAGCAAAACGTAAACAAAGCAAGAGCCAATCTAGCCTCGACATACCGTTTTGCACAAATAACAAGCTTTAATCATCTACAGATGCTAAGGACTCCGAGACACAATCAGCCGAGGAGGTGGCCAAGATGACTCCGTAGTGTTTTGAAACTTTTACGGGTCCGGGATTGTCTTACACACTTTAGAATGCTCCAAGGTGCACTAAAGGAAATCGAATCTCCACCTTTAGGTCGACAAGAGATCGACGGTTGTAATATGAGGTTCCTCCTCAATTTTATCATCGAACGCTTAAAACAATGGAAAAAACATTCTCTTCCAAACTCTCTCTAAGAGCATAGTACAATAATCACCATTAGCAAGCATTTTGGTGTTGTTGCTTGTTGACACCTAAATTTTAACTAACCGTTTAATGATTAATTGCATAGAAAATTTAGGATTAAAATTTTAACCCCTAAACAAAAATATTAAATTGGATAGCATATAGTCTAGGTTCATACTAAAGAATTGCATGCTACATCAAACCGGCGGTGGCGAGAAAGCTGAAAATTCATTGCGCTAGCCGAGCTTGAGCGCCGAATTAAACTCATTCAGGGGATGGAGGCCGAAAATCACAAGTCTAAAAAGGCCTTGGTTGTCTTAATTTGAGCTTAAATCAGCCCATTGAGCTTAATTAGAGAAAAATCCAAATTAATTCAGCCCATTGAAAATTAAAATTAGATGATAAAGCCCAAGCCAAAGCCCACTAGGATTAGAAAAGCCCTATCAGTTAACCTAAGTATACGATATAAATATGTCGTTATACCTCATAATTCGAGGGAGAGCTCTCATAATTCCTAGATCAGAATTTTTTTGGAGAGAAAGATTGACGGCAAAAAAAGAAGAGAAGTTCTCTCCTCCCGCGGTAGTTCCTCCTGTGCTTGGCAACCATCCATCATCGCCGCGCCAACACTTCCATCATTCGAGAGAAATGGCCATTGAAGACCCACTGCCGAAGCAATAAAATCTAGTCCACTCCAGATCAGTGTGTTCCTTGGCTCGGCAAACCACCCCAGCGAGTTCATAGCAAGCATTTCGGCAAGCTCGACTCAACAATTCTTTTCATCGTCTCCCTGCCGTGCCATAGCCGATCCATTATCGAGCTGAGGTTTGCCAAGCATCCCAAGCTGTGATCGAGAATCACGACGACCAACTTTGCCGTCGCTGCGGCCACCGGTCCACTCGCCACCGTCCCAATCCACAAGCCCAAGTTCGATCCGAGTTCAAATTTGGAAGTTATCCACAAAATTAGGTAAAATCATTTTCCGAATATTTTCCGAAATATTTAATTTCTTAAGTTTGTGTGCTTGAATATTTCGTGAATATTCTGTGGATGTTGGGTATTTTTGGATAATGCATGTGATATTCGTTATAATCTAAGATACCCCGAATTATGAGTTTTTCTTAATTCAGCAACATACATGGATGACTATCTAACCTTAACCTAAGGTACGATACACGGCGGTACGGAAAAATATATTATCTTATCCATAACCACTTGGATATGATAATATATCATATTCGCTTTCCAAATTCAAACAATCGATTTTCCGTCAATATCTATAACCCTATAGATATTACCATTAGTTTGATTCCCTTTCCTAATTCGAACATGATAAGAAAAATCTTGCGGATCGCGTGGATGGTTGGTCTATGATTGTTATCTTGTGTGTAATTTATTTCCCTTTTGAAGCAAAAGAAAATCCACAAAAAAATATAGGGTTAATACCACGAAAAACCCTAAACTGGTACACTTGTGACAGATTTACCCCAAACTATTTTTTTGACCATAAAAAACCCCAAACTGGTACATCTGTGACAATTTTACCCCAAACTATTTTTTTGACCACCAAAAACCCCAAACTGGTACATCTGTGACAATTTTACCCCAAACTATTTTTTTGACCACCAAAAACCCCAAACTGGTACATCTATGACAATTTTACCCCGAACTAATTTTTTAATATTATTTTTTTATTTTTTCGAATTTTTTTTAGTTTTTCTTATCTTTTCTTTTTCCTTTCCTTTTCTTCTTTTTTTCCTTCATCTTTAACCTCGAACAAAAAAAAAATCAGGAAGTGTGAATTTGGTAAGGCATATTAAATTGAAATTAAATTCTTAAGTTTGTATCTATAATTTTTTTTCTTTATAATTTCTTACTATATCAATTAGAAATAGTACAAAAAATTCTTCTTGCGTTTTATTTATTATATATTTCAAGTGATTATATTGATTTATGAATCGCCATGCACATATAATATCTCTCATCTTATATATAAAATATACTAATTTTGTAAATTAATCTGTTAAATTATATTGGCAAGCAAGACGTATAGAAATTGTTGATTAGCTGTACTCCAAGCTTAGGTAACAAGCCTGCGTTGGACCCCATCAGTTTGCCTATCCACTTGCACCCAAAAATAAGAAAGACACGACAACAATATAATGTCTTTTTCGTGAGACATTTAAATATAGAAAAAAGTGGTTGGCATGAAAATTCATGCATATAGTCTTTTATTTAGCGTTTATGTTTTTTTTTTGGGTCAAAATGTAGCATTTATGTTACGTGTCACGTTATTGTGGTATCAATTACAATATAACAATCCATTGTTGGTCCAATGAAGATGAAGGAAAAAAAAAAAGAAAAGGAAAGGAAAAAGAAAAGAAAAGAAAAACTAAAAAAATTCGAAAAATAAAAATAAAAATAAAAATATTAAAAAATTAGTTCGGGGTAAAATTGTCACAACAGGTTTGGGGTTTTGATGGTCAAAAAAATAGTTCGGGGTAAAATTGTTACGATGTACCGTTTGGGGTTTTTATGGTCAAAAAATAGTTCGGGTAAAATTATCACGAGATATACCAATTTGGGGTTTTTTATGGTCAAAAAAATAGTTTGGGGTAAATCTGTCACAAGTGTACCAGTTCAGGGTTTTTCGTGGTATTAACCCAAAAATATATTAGTTAGGATTTAAAATTTTGCATGTTTAGGGAACCCTAAATGTATCTAGAAGATAGGATAATTATTTAGTTTAAATTGGGACTTAAGATAATTTATTTCCTAGTTTAAATTAGGGATTGTTCTAGTCTTAATAGGTTATTTAGGATATTTAATCATTTCGAATTTTCATAAAAGTACCAAAAAAGAGGTTGTTTTAGAATAAATAAAATTGATTTTTCTAGGGTAGATCGCATGTTAATTTAGGCATTTTATTTATTCAGAATTTCATTGGAAAAATACCAAAAATAAATCAATTGTCCGTCATTAGAAATAGTTCATATTGTTGCATGTCATACAATTTCGCATGCTAGGATTAATTAATCGTATGTAATATTCTACATGTCATTGCACTTAGGCTAGTTTCATTAATATGAAGAGAAAATCTAAAAATATGCTGAGTAGACTGCTTTGTTAATTAGAAATCATATTAGGACTATCTATATGATTTTCTAAACAACAATGCATATGCTTTTGTTACTTTAAGGTACGTTATTCTCCTAATCTAGCAATTTATTTACTACTTTCTTTATTGGGTGTTAAATTGGTGGATTGCGCATCCGCATGGTCATCCTAC